TCGCTAGATCAAATGACCTTATTGCCCCTAACAAAATCCCACTTCCCCAACCATTCTCTCCTCCAATGAAAGCTTCTCTAGCTCCTAGTAAGTGTTTGCCTGAACAGCGTCTCCTTGGTAACCACCAAGGAGAATAAGCTTGTGTCCTTGAGTGTCATTATGGTGCATGAATTGTACCACAATTTTTGCTATTGTATTTTTAGTATTGTTCATGAAGGGTGAGAAAACTATTAAAAAGTGATAGAGTAGCAGAGTGATCGAACTCCATTGTGATCACTAACTTTGCAATTGTAGATTTACAAAAGAAAGACACTTGTGATCAAACTCCATCATCACCTAGACCATCGTTCTTTAGGGTTGCTTCCACAATCTTCTTATGTTATCCATACTTTTTCAAGCCCTAAGATCTTTGGCTTTTGTTCAAGTTTGTGGTTGAAAGTATGATTTTTAGGAAGCTCGTCGAAGGATCACAAACATCTTGGTAATTAATTTTCATTTTATGATTATATTAATTTTTATACAAGACTTAATTGAGTCGAATTCACATTTGACATACTTTTTGTTTAATTGAGTAAAAAAAAATTTGATGTGGTATTTGAATGCATACTTTTTGTTTATGTAAAAAAAAATTAAGTCCATGGAAGAAAGTTGCAATGGATGATTCAATTTGTGATTTCACTTCCGATTGATTACAAATGATGATCTTTGTGTTTTACTTGGGATCTTATACATGTCCAAAGTTATTTTATAGTTTATAAAAAAGACTTTTTATAAACAAAGACTTTTGATATAACTATATCAGGTGCTTATGTGGTCCTTATACATAGAGAATTTGCTTGGTTATTGTAAAAGCTCCTTGTTCAAGTTGGAAATTTGTTTGATTATGATAGCAAGATAGGACTTTTCATCTCGGAGCATATGTTTTTGCTAAACAACCATTCATTGAGAATTGTTTTTTACAAACATGTTTGATATTCATTTTTCTTATCTTGTATTTTGATCTAGAAGAAACCTCTAGTTTATATTGATATTTGTTGTAAAAGATGCCTAGGATCGAGATTAGTGTCATGTAAACTATTTGCTCATGAAAGTTTGCAAATGTATCAATGTAGAATTCTAGTAGACATATTTTTGCCTGCATTAAGATCCTTGTTGATCATGTCTATGACATACAATATAGCATATGGCCTATTTTCTAATAGTGCTTACCCCATCTCCGAGGATATGATAGAGGGTGAGATTAATATATTTAGCTAGAATCTATCCCATCAATGATCATATGTTTTATTAAATTTTTCACTTTATCTGGTATAAAGAAGATAAACCAATCCATGAATTATATTTGATAAAACTTTTTTGTTCAGACTTTAATTCTTCCCATTTGTGTTATAGTTTTCAATTCTCCTTCTATTTTCACTAGTTCAAATGTAATAAACAAATTTCTACGAGATTAAAGAAAAGTTCAAAATTTATGCACAGGGATAGATCTTAAGTAGCCATCTAGAGAATGTCATGAGGAAGGCAATAAGAATGTTGTAATTGCTGATGCAATTGATGGAGTTGATGTTGTATCTCATTCACCACTGCATCTTTATTTGACATTTATGATTAACATAGGGAAGCAAGCTCATCCAATTCCAAAATATTCGATCACTTTGTTGGAATAAGATTTTCTTAAAAATTGGTTTCAAAAGTAATTTAGGAAAATAGGGGAAGAAAATGACATTAGCCCTCGTCGTTTTTTGTTGTGAGAATGTTACACTTGCACGTATAGGTGTTTAGTAAACAATATCTAGATTCTTGTATTATCTTCTTGTAATACAATATAGTTTATGTTGTCAATGGATTAAAAACACATTATTGTTTAATGTTAAATGGATTTGTTCATATTTAATTGTTTTTCTTTACTCTTTAAGTTGGTGTGATTAAGCTTCATATATAATAATAGTAACCATTAAGAATATCTTTTGGTGTTTCATGAAAAATGAGCAAATTTTTAAGACAACCATTTGCATTTTCAATATATCCATAGGTATTTTCATACAAAATGAATAAATTTTTTAAATAATTATTTGCATTTTCAAAATATCTTTTGATGTTTTTCATGAAAAATGAGTAAATTATATGTTATTACACACACACACACATTCAAATATCCTTTACATGTATCATGAAAACATGTGTTACATAGGCTTTGAAGCTCATTTTTTAGGATACCGCAAATGAATATCATGAGAATGAATTTTTTTTTCACTTTATTGTCTTCAATTTTTCATTTTATTCGAATATCCCTTATTGATATCCTGAAAATTAAGTTTAGGACCCCCATTTTTTAGGGTATCCTTAATAATTTTCATGAAAAATGACATCACATAAACTTATTAACATTATCAAATGTTAAAATTTCATAATATTCCAAACGATTTTCATAAAAAACTAATGTAAGAAGTTTAGCATTCTCCAGTGTCAACATTTATTCGAATATATGTTTTAGTTATCATAAAAAATGAGGTTACATTACAGATATTTGCATATATAGGAATACTAGTTGCATATCATGGAAGGCATTTACACTTGTGAGAAAATGCATCTTCAAGACAAATCAATTACTTATAAGGATAGATCACGTGCATATATGAAAGAATAGTGCACATAATGGAAGCCAATTGCATTTGAGGAAGGCTTTTTGCATATGCAAGTAATTGTCTCTATCTTAGGAAGAGTACTGCATACTATTGAAGATATTTACATGTATTGAAAGGCTTATTGCATCTCATTGAAGGCATTTGCACCCGTGAGAAAATGCATCTTTAAGACAAATCAATTGCATATAAGGATAGGTTACATGCATATACGAAAGAATACTGCACATAATGGGAGCCAATTGCATATAAGGGAGGCTTTTTGCATATATAGGGTAACTCTCTCCGTCATAGGAAGAGTTTCACCCCATTGAAGATATCTGCATATATTGAAAGACTTGTTGCATCTCATTGAAGATATTTGCACCCGTGAGAAAATGTATCTTCAAGATAAATCAATTGCATATGTGAAAGGATGTTATGCATAATGGGAACCAATTGCATTTGAGGGAGGCCTTTAAAATGTGTAGGGTAACTCTATCACAGGAAGAGTATTGCATCCCATTGAAGATATATGCATATATTGGAAGATTTCTTGCATATCATTAAGGACATATTACATCTGCACTTGTGAGAAAATACACTTTCAAGGTAGATCAACTGCATATAATGACATATTACATGCATATAATGGAAGAATAATGCATATGATGGGATCCTATTGCATATCAAAGAGACCTTTTACATATGTATAGATATTTATACATATCGCTGAAGATGATAGCTTTGTTGCACTTTTGTGAAGAATGTTATATACTTTAAGCATCATGGTTGTGTATTCAAATAAAGCAAGGACATGGAGTTTGAAAAAGTCTCTAACACTTATTTTTTCATGAAAATTGAAGGGATATTATGAAAAAGTAGCATAGAATTATAGCAGCACGAACGCAAATCCCATTGTAGACTGAAGAAAGGGAGGGCTAGAAAGCAATTTTGAAGAGGCCAATGTTGGCGGTGGTGGTCTTGTAAGCTCATATTCAAATAAAGGAGGAAGGATAAAGGAGTAAGGAAAGAAAGGGGTGTTGTCAGTTGTTTGAAAATTGCCCGATGTTGCAACGGGTGCTGGAGTCATGAGAGGAGAGGGCAAAGGATTTAGTGAGGACATTTAAAACAATTTAAAATTTTTAATTTATATCACTAAAGGACCTTATTTAAGAAAATTCCCCACAGCCCAAAGGAATTAAATTAGTGGTCAGGTCTTTTTCAATTATTTCCCTTTATAATTTTAAGAGAGAAGAAGCATTAAAACAAAATAATAAAACCCTTGGCCCGTACAATAGCATGCCCTTATCGTACGGTGCTGCCACAATCAATGAGGAATTGATATTATCGGTGCACTATGTCATCCGCGATCCACGTTGGCTATCTGTCTTCATTTATAACATTCCATTATTCAATAGCATTATCATTTTTTTAATGAAGATTTGACTAAATTAAACAGTGAAGATTACAAAACGTTATCATAATCAAGCTCTATCATCTGTCACCGCTGCTGTGTGAGAGGTGGCCAGTGGGGAAAGATTATGGGTATAGAAAGTGAGTCTTCATGCTGCTATGAGACAACCTAACTAATAAGTCAACAAAGTAATTATAATTTTTACTAAAATAATTTACAATTACATTCCAGCCCCTATAGAATATTAATCATTTTTTAAAAAGCAAGATATCCAATATTTAAAATTATATTAGATTTTTATTAATTTAAATTTGAATTTAAATCAAATTAATTCTAAATAAGAGATAACTCTTTCAAAAATATATGTTTTGTATTCATATGAATCCAAATAAATAACATTGTCTTTTTTTTTTGTCAGAAATAACATTATCTTTATTAAGCAACATTAACATCTTTTTATACAAGTCTGATTAAAATTATCTCTATATTCAACTTCTTTTAAATGATATACTTTTTCTAATCACAATATAAAGTATTGATACTTATTTAACAATTTTTAAAAAAGTTAAATGAAATCTTAATTTCTTCAATTTTCTTACATCTTTTTATTTATATTACATATTAAAATTTTAATGATGATGATTAAAATTTTAATGCATCATTTTTTAAAAAAGCATCAACTAAAATAGAAACATATTTGAAGAAACAATTATAAAAACTACATAATACCTTATTTTGAACTCAGCAAAAGTTTTTGAAAATGTTATATATTATGGTCTAGAAAAAAAAGTTTTAAAATGTGTAAATACTTTAAAAATATTCAATTTAATAACTAAATACTCTTTTACCAAAAAAATTTAACAAAACTAAACTTTTTTTTTTGTTAGAACATATAACTTAACTCGAAGACAACAAATTGTACCCATATAAGAGCATGTTTTGAAGTATGGCAAAAGTAGGAATAACACAATCAAATGTAGCATTTGATGAAAATGAAGCATCAAATGAGCAATTAATAATATACAACCATGCGAAATAGAGTAACGGGTTTAGTTACTCTCAATTAATTGGACAATACTAATAATAATACAACAGCAAACACAATGCACGTAAATTGCAGAAACATCCAGCTTGTTCTCTAGTCCTCTGTCTTCAACCAAATCCGAGGAAGATGTTATCTCCGCGCGTCCAATCTTTTTTTTTCCTTTTTTTTTGTTTAATTTTTTTTAAAAAAAGACCCCAACGATTTAAAGGAAAAGGAATAAAACTAAGGGGTCGATTTGTCCCCATCGTCCATGTCAAGGTCCGGCTTACGCGCACCCACGAGGCGCAAACCCGACCCTAGAACCCGCCAGATCGTACACGACCCGGAAACCTTGTTGCTGGATGTTCCCGATTATCGACAACCCACCCATCGTTCCCGCGAAGGCGAAACAGAAGCTTCCGCTGGTGTCGACCGGAATCAAGTAGTTCGTCGCCGGAAGTGACATGTCCGAGCCTCGGAAATGCAGCACTACCGTGGGCACCTTCACCTCCTTCTGCCCCGACAGATCAAAACAGGTGTCGAAGAGTGAGAACTCCGGTGCCCTCTTCAGATGCGAGGCTCCCACCCTGAAAGCGTTCCTCAAGGCGATGTAGGCCGGTCGGGTGAGCCGGGTCACTGACGTGCCGGAATCGATGATAACGCCACCATTCCCAGCGGGATCTAGTCGGAAAAGCGACGGTGAGATACCGCGAACGCGTGCTCCCCCCACACTGATCCCGAGGAGTTCCACATAGTAGAATGTGTCGAGCTTAGGGTTGCTGAGGAGAGGAGTGAACCGGGCGGTTCGCGGAACGGCCAAGTCGCCGAATATAACCGAAGACGGTTTAGCCGAAGAAGAACGGTCCACTAAGCAATACGAGAACTTCAGGCCGAAACGGCGTCCCGTTTGTTCAGGAAACGACAACTTCCCACGGCCGAGACCTAACAGACCCGCCGCGCCGACGAAGAGCCCCTCATTGTCGTGGCCACATCCGAGGGCGACGCCGGGGACTTGGGTGCGCCGAAACGTCAGCGTTTCAGTGGAAAACTCCCCCAGAGTGAAAGAACCGTCACCGTAGGAAACCTGATAAAGACAGTTCTTTTTATTATTGCATCTGGGAGAATCCAATCGCCGGCAGAGAGGGGAGCCACAAGAGATTCCGGCGAACGACCGAGATTTAGAAGGGTCAAAACACCGGGTCGGTCTGGGAGTAGCATTTCCGGCACGGAGAACACTGCAGCCAAACGACGTCGCTTCCGGTATCCAGCACCATGAAAACGTTCCTCGGAGGAGTGCCGACGCCCAAGCGAGTAAAGTACTCTCCACTACCCTGAGCCAACCCAGATATAACAGAGCTGCTGAAGCCCGGCTGGCCAATAAGGCTCTGGTTCACAGAAGCAACCTTGGATGCCATGGATACGAAGGATTTGACCCTAGCAGCATCTCTTTGCAGCCTGAGGTTGAAGAGCTGCTCTGGGGTTTTGTTGAAAGACATAGCGTCCACGTGATGCAGTTCAAGAGAAATCACAGGTTCAGTTTGTGGATCGGATTCGGAGGTCTTTACAGCATTGGATTCGGACCATGAGGGTGTGAGTGGGGGGGAGAGGGAGTGGGGGACTAGAATTTGGGTCTGAAATGGAGGAGGGTCAACGGAGGAAGCGGCGGAGAGAGAGAGAAGCAGGGGGACGAGGGAAAAGAAGAGAACGGAATTTCCTTCTCTGGCTTCCATGGTTGGGGTGGGGGGGAGAGTGAGCAAGAGAACATGGAGATGGCGGAGAATAAATAGTGGAAGGGAGGGGTGAGAGAAGCGGTTCGAAGAGGAAGCTAGAAAAAGAAAAGTGACTGTTGGTTATACAGTAAAGCTTGGTCCAATGTTTTAAAACCTAAAACGAATATTAAACTGATGTCAACTTTTATGATTTAATCAGTTAAGCTAACGGCTAAACTAATAATATAATAATTAAATAAAAATAATATTAAATATATATAAAAATAAAGTTATATTATATTAATAACATGATATAATATAATTATAAATTAATAATTTTATAAGTTGTTAAATACTCTTTCAATTTTATATATTAATCACTTTTTATAAACATAATTTAATCCATTTTATAGTGGTAGGATTGTTTTGTTTTAAATTAAAATTTTTAAATTATTTTTAAAAAGTAAGAGAAAGACAAAAAAATAATATTATATTATTTATTTGCTTTTTATTTTTTATTTGAGGGTTATATTTGAAATTTCACTTACCTTTATTCTTTGAACTTTTATTATATTGATATTGATGAGATTGGTAGAAATAACTTATAAATAAAACTGGAGGGAGTATGGGTTAATCTTAATTAAGTTAGATACAAATAAATTTAAAAGTATTTATATTTGCATGTATAACTATCAACATTATTATAAAAAATAGCCTCAAATTATATTTCATGCATGTAGGAATTTAATCTTTGAATTTTTTTAATATTTTAATATTTTTTAATATTATATTTAAAATTTAGAGACTGCTATGGTTCCTAATGCAACTATGTTTTCAGTTAAATAGTAGTCTAATCTGACTCAATCATTAAAATAATTTTTTGATCGAAATTGAATCATTAATGGTTTCGATCGATGGTCCAAGGTTTGATCTAATTTTTAAAACAATGGTTTGGTGTCAATAAAAAAAAAAAGTGATAGTTTTGTGAAAGTTTTGTTGTTTTGCCCAATTATGGATCATTATATGGTTTTAGATTTCACTCTTTGGTCTGCCAATGATTATTTAGTCTAATGGCATAAAAATTTTGTCTAAGTAGAAGATTGTGGATTTAATCTTTTTATTATTTTAGATCATTAGTGTAATTTTCTCTAATTCAAAAAGGACTTTACAGTCTGATCTAATGAATAATTTGATTTAGTTTTTGGATAGTTAACCCTTAAGTGACAACCAAGGAACTAATATCATATTGCTTTATTGAACCAAATCACTGGTATAAGTTTCGTTTTCTTGGTTAAAGAAATAAATAGCAAAAATAACTATTGTTTTATACTTACATTTAACGGTTGTGGTGATGTTGAAGCCAGATGGAACCTAATGAATCTTAAATGGGTAAGACTTGACGTTGGTAGTTAAGTCAATCATAATGGTGTTATAGCTTGTGAAAGCCTTATTAGAAATGATAAGAGTAACTGGATTAAAGAATTTTTTAAAAACCTTGCTTACCAACTCAGCACAGTTGCTGAGCTTATAAGAATTTTAAAGGGTTAAATATTTATTGAAATGTTAAGATTCTTAAAATTAATGTTTCTTTTAATTTCATGGAGGTCATATCTCTCATTAATGACAACTTCGACTAGAGCCATCCACTCTCAGCAATCATTAGAAGCATTAGAAATCTTACCATGAGAAATTAAAATGTTACTTTTTAACACGTTTATTGAAAAGTTAATCATTATGCTGATCTTCTAATCCACAAGACCTAAAGTGAGTATTTTAATATTACTTTATTTGACGATGCTCTCATAAATTGTAAAAACATTATAACTTATGACATGACCTGAACTTGATCCTTTTGCATGGTATTTTTATCGTGACCTTGTATTAAAAAATTTATGATGATGTGATTGTGATTATTTAAATAGGATATTAGATCACCACTTCCAACTAAATTTTTTGATATGCAAGAGTTAAATCGTACCAAATGTTTGAAAAGAGAGAGAGATTTCATACCATTTTAACTCTTGGTATAAAATCATGGTTACGTCAACTTTAATTAGTCAGTTTGAATCTATTTTAATCTATAAAATATTAAACAATATATCCATGTTAGCAAGGCATGACATTCTCAAATATGGGAGGTATAATTGAAATTGACCAAACTCACATAATTCTTTTTTCTTAACTCTTAAGTATAAACTCATAGTTAGTGTACTCTCCTTCATAGCTTGTGACACAATTGCTTCATGGAAAATGTTTTTATTTATCCAAGGAACGTGCTTTGTTGGCCAAAAAAACAACAAGGAACCTGCTCATCTCCACGAGTGATATGAGTTTGTGAAGCCCTTAGACTACACATTGCATTTTAAACTTATCATAGATGAACAGTGACCAAGGAATTAGATAATAGTAGCATGATTTATCAAGTCATTATCAATACATAAATATCAATGAGACATAATTCATAGTAACACTGCACATGAATGCCTATGCAAGTTACTCTTAAATTTTCGTATATATAGTGCATGTAAAACTATATTTAGCATAATATAAATTTTTCAGGAAATCATACTATTTAATAAATTATAATTAATGTGACTCAACTCTCAGGCTCAACGTCTAAAGAAAACTTGTATATATTTTCACCCCTTTATTTCTCTTATCATCTTAATCAGTTCCTACTTCATTTTAAAACAAAAATACTAATCAATACATCTTTTAATTAATGACACAAGGAATTTTTCATGATTTTAAAATTAAATATGAACAAAAGCAACTAAGAGTAATATTCAAAAAATATAATTAACTTACTATACTACATTTGATTTTTATACTTATAGTGTGCTTAAATTTTGTGCGTATTAAATTTGTGACATCATTGTCGAGTATTTGGCTTATAACCCATAAATTTATGAAATCAAATTTCATTGGCAACATAAAAATTTTATTGGTGAGTGTTTCATTGATTTGTAAGTATTTTTATAAGCACTTTTTAAATTTAAAAATATATCCTAATTTTAGTAAGTTCTTAAGATTCAACTCACATAAATTTTTTTAAATAAAAAAATCATTAACTAAAAGAGAGAACATAATACAAATTTTAAAATTTTTTATTTAAATATGAGTAAAATTAAAATTTTTATTATTTTTAAATAAAATTAATAATTTAATTATATCTTCTTAATTTTAGTGAGATGATTAGTATTAACGATGCCTTATACCCGTGTACTTTTTATCCTCCTCTCCAATGATCTGAATAGAGAGAAACATCGCACTAATGATATATTTTAGTACCATTTTGTTAGGTGAAAATTGGGTCAGTGAGACGGCTGGGTTAATTAATGGAAGTATTATTACCGCATCGTCAAACACGACTTAAAGGGCAGTAGAAACCTGAGCTGTCTAGCAAGACCAGGAGCACTAATCGCCTGTGCGCCTCCTCACAATGGACAAGGGCCTCTCCATTTTTATTTATTTATTGTCACCATCTCTTGTTTTATTTATTTTGGCCAGCGCCATGTCCTATTTTATTCGACATAAAAAAATAGATAAATAAACCAATTGTCTTTGAATTTTAGATTCAATAGCACAATAAATTTTAAATTTATTTATTATATAAATTATTCTATTAATTTTTAAAAATAATGCAATCCAGTATAAGTTGTTAAAAAATTTAATTTAATTTGACCATTAATCAACAAAATGATAGAAAAGAACTTAAAAAATTACAGACAAAGATCCAAAAAATTATAGAAAATGATTCAAATTTTTTGTGGTCATTTCCTAGAATTTTTAAGGTTATTTTCTATCTTTTTTTGATTAACTAACAATTAAAGTTAACTTTTACTGATGGCAAGGGTCAAAGTGCAATATTTTAAAAATTTAAAAGACTAATTTATGTAATAAATGAGTTTAAAATTTACAATAATATTAAACTTAAAATTTAGTGAGTAATTTGTTCATTTATTCTAAAAAAAAATTTCAAACATTAAAGATGGGAAGCCAAAAACTAGGTATTGTCAAACGTTTTAAAGGCATTTATTCACATTAGAAAGAGACAAAGTGTGTTTTGATGGAAGGAAAGGATAAGCTTGTGGTGGGACTATTGTAAGCTCATGTTTTATTTTTGAGAAAAGTACATTAAAGTCACATATAAAAAATTAATTACTATAATATTTATTAATAACATAATTAAGGTCATTTATAGCCTTAGTTTAATATTGTCAATAGCTTTAATTCAATTATTAATAAAATTTATAGTAATTAATTTTTTATATGAAACTTGAATGTAATTTTTTATATTTTAATAATTTAAATTTTATAAGATTATTGTGAGAGGACTAGGGGCTCTCCATTCCCCCCCCTTTTCCTTCCGCTCCCCCAATCCTCACCATTCATATCATTTTATTAAATAATCTTTTTAATTATATAATTAATGAAGGGTGAAGATTGGGAAAGTGGAGGGAAAAAGATAGAAAAAATGAAGAATTACAACTAACCTCTTTCAAAAAAAATTAATTATAAAAAGATAACAACAAATTTTATTTGAGAAAAAATAATAATTCATTCTTACTTTAATAACAATTCATTTATATTAATCTTTATTTATAATCAATTTTTTTGAGAAAGAGTTGATTGAAATTTTCTTAAAAAAAGTTGAGAGGCCCCGGTAGTGTATGGAGCCTGATAAAGGTGAGCATGTCACTTTTATGTGTCTCAAGTGTTTAGTTTTTTTTTTTTTTGCCACGGAAACCTTTTTAGTTGAGTCATCTTTTTTTTTTTTTGGGACCAACTTTTGGTTGAGTAGTCTTTAAATATCTTCATATGTGCTATCTATATGTCTAAAGAGTTGTCCCTTGAAGTCTCTTTTTCTTTGGCAATTAATATATTAATTAATACAATTTATAACAAATCATATTATTTATACGGGTTTTACTTCATACAACACATTAAGGCTTTTTTTTAAAAAAAAAAAACCACAACGCTGAAGTTTTAAAAATTTGTCATACTACTAACCTTTTAGGATTTATAAAAACTCTGCAACATACAATTATTTTTAAATCTCGGGCACCCTCATCATTAAA